TTTCCTTCTGAAACATATTTCTCTAAATATTTTCCCAGGCATTGTTTATGAAGTCATTGACGAGAGTGACGAATGGCCATTCAGAAAAGGAAGGGAATATGTGGAAGTGAACTTCGGGGTGAAAACATCTCAGGGCTTGCTGGAGTTCAAGTGCAGGAACAAAGTCCATAAGCAGAAATGGGTGTGTGCAATCCGGAAGCTTCTCGAGCGGAACACAAAATTCGAAGAGGCTAAGGATGCCCTAAGAAAGTTAAATATCAATAAGAGCATCTAATCACACTTTTATTCGGACAAGTTTTTCTCTGTAATTGAAGTTCTCTTCACAGTACACATTGAATATACACAGGGAAGTTTTTCAGACCAACATCAATCTCTGTGAAGTGTCTGAAACTAAAAACCTAAAAAGTAAAAAATCAAGTGTGTCAGAATCTTAGAATGAGGAGAAGCAAGACTGTTTTTCTTTTCTTTTTTCTTTTCCCTACTTTTTTCACAGGTTAAGACATTGGCTATTTGGCTGTACATTTCTTCCATGTTGCAATTTTGTTGTCAAGGTTTTGATATTTTCGAAAAATGCCGTTAAGTTGGTTGTCATTCAGTCGGATGATTCTTTATTTCCAATGATTTTTTTTTTATTTAATTTTTCTCTTTTGTGATTGTTGAAACCCGTAATTTTATATTTATATATTGTAGAAAACAAATATACATGACCGAAAACTATCAAATAATTTTCAGGTAAAATTTCTTGGCTAAAATTTCATGCGCTAATACCAACTATCTATCTCCAATCCATTCACATTGTGTAAGCTGACGAGAGTATTTCCATTTTTCACAGCAGATACGCTTTTCATACGAGCAAGATCCAAGAAATCTACTAGTTTCATTATTATCTTTATTTCACTATCTATCAGGGGCATACAAATATCAAGTACAAGCAATAAATTTCAACACAATATATGCAGTAACAATCGAATTAGAGCATTTCAAATTATGGGAAAAAAATGGGGAATACGTACATGTGTTATGCATCCTCAAAATACAACAGTCCTGTTTTTCTCATAAGGCAAAACCCGCAGTTCACAGTATGACTGTATTGCTTTCGCAAGACACTGCTTTTCCAAGTTCTCAGATTTCTGTACAAAACTCCGCAAATTATCCCTGTGGGAGACTCTTTCCACCTGAGGCAATAAAAGACAACATATTCACATTTATTGCGTAAGGCACTTGAAAAGTGCCACCGATTATATAAGTTCCTACTTTAGCAGTCAATCACCATTCAACGTAATTAAGATAAAGCCATAGCACAGATAAACACTCAGGTGAATTAGGATTGTTACCAAATATGTCACTCTATGATAATTACCCATAGAAATTTAAGTGAAGCAAAGCACAAGAGGGAAGCAAAACCATGGTAAAAAGTGGAGAAAAAGATACAAAATTTGCATGCACCTAGCTAAACTGCTGTCAATATTTCAAAGCTAATACTTAGATGCAA